ACGCTCTTCACCATCTTCGCCTTCATCTGCATCAGCGTCCTCCTCTACCGCCGGAGACCCCACCTCGGCGGGGAGCTGGGCGGCCCCCGGGGGTGCAAACTGGCCACAACGTTGCTCTTCGTCAGCCTCTGGCTGCTTTACATCCTCTTCGCCACTCTGGAAGCCTATTGCTACATCAAGGGATTTTAGGCAGTGGAGGAGCGGTGCTGCCGGGAGGAGGGACCCCCTCCTCCATTACCTCACCGGACACTGATCCTGGAAGTGCGGTTTCACCAGAGGGTACAGCTGTCTGTCAGGGGCTGCCATTGACAAGATGGTCAGACAGCTGGGTGCCAAGAAGGGCAAGACTATCACAGAGTGAAAAAAACAAAGAGACAAAACCCATCCAAAAATGGTATAAAAGAAGGTAACAATGGCAAGTATTGAAATAAAACACAATAAACCCAGCCACTGACCCTATTCAATGAGATTATTAAGTTTCAACCATCTCCAAGGGCCTCCGCTCCCACAGGGGCTTGTCTCTTTCCTGCCGAGCACCCCTCTACTGTAAGGAGATGTTTCCTTATTTCTACTAGTTGAGAATTGCAGAAGCCTGATTCAGGAATTTGGGGGGGTGTTTTTTTTTGTTTGTTTGTTTGCTTGTTGCTTTTTGGTTTTGGGGGAGCACGCTAATTGATTTTTTTTCTTTTCTACTACTTAATCAGAAAAATGTTAAAAATTTAAACTCTAAAGCTTCAAGCTGCCGTCAGTGCTGGAATTGAACGTGTATTTTATGAAGCCACAAAAGACTGTGACACAGTCAAAGAACTTCTTCACTATTACTCGTTCCCTCCCCCGCCACCCTCCATTACTTTCTTTTTTAAGAACATCACAAGACTGATATATTTTTAATACAAACACAGACACACAGTCACACACATTTAATGACAAAGGCTGGAGCATGTAGCATCTCAATCACCTGCCTGGGATAAGAAAAAAAGAAGGAAAAAACCCCCCAACCCTCTAATACAATACGTGTCATGTATATTTTGACTATGGCATTTCTCTTTGTATAATTTTAACTTTGAGCTTGTGGTACTGCAGGGAGAGAAAATTATGTTAATTTACAGCTGTTAAAAGAAATAAATGGACACCCAGGAATAGCCTGCCTTGGGGGGAGCAAGGGGGCCAGGGAAAGCGGCACTGGCTCCTGGGGATGGTGGTGGTGGCGGGTTTGCTGTGTGGTTCTCCTGCTCAGAGGTGGAAATGAATTCAGGAAAACCTGGACAGTGTGCCCATATGTTCCCAGTGCCATCCCACCCTGAGCTGTGGCACGGTTGCCCTTTCATTCAATTGCTCCCAAGTTTTCACAATGCCTGTATCTTGCTGGTGGTCTTCAGGCCACTGACAGGTACAGGCTTAAAAACTGCCATTCACATCAGGACTCCTGCGTCATCTCAAGTACCTTTTAGGAACACTAGACAGACAAAAAACACATCCTTTTCATTTTAAATGCATTTCTTTTTAAGGAAAAAGAAGAAGAAAACCCACCACCACGAGAGTGTGTCATGAGTTACATCTGCAAAATGAAATGTTGGGTTGGTAATAAAAATAAATAAAAATTATACCTATATCTATATAAACAGTGCTATCTAGAAACAGATTTCTTAATTGAGAGCCCTGGAAGAGAATGTTAAAACCCTACTCTTTGTAAAGTGTTTTCAAGACAAAGATCATTTCTTCTCTCAAGGGACAGGTGCTGTAAAGGGAACCATTTTTATCAAGTTCTCAGTAATAAGCCAAACTTTGGGAGGCAGCAAGTAAGAGAGGGGCTGCCAAAAAGTACACCTCTACCTGCTGAGGTGCTTTTATCTGCTCCAAGAGGCAGGGAGGAGGTGTCCGTAGGTTAGGGAAAAAGCAACGGGAACAAGGTTGTCATGGACAAAAAGAGATGTAACATAGCAGGTGACTAGATGGAGGTGATGATGGTTCTTAACACCCAGATGAAATATTTATTTTCATACAAAATGTTTATCAGATATCTGTATCTCTATATAAATGTGTATACATGTGAGGCAGAGAAGATGGATTCTTCTCAGAGAAGCAGCAGGAGCTTTGCCAGTGGGAGCCCACTGTGGGTGAAAGCTGCTGGATTTGAAGCTAACAAGCACCTGACACTCTGCCTCCTTACCCTCCCTTCTCTATACCTGTGGGGAAGGGCCTGAAAAAGATGGGCAAGAAACCCTGAGGCCAGGCTCCCACTGAGCTTGCTGATTCTTCTGGCCTCCAGTAGTGCCAACAGCCACTAAGAGCAGCTGCTGCCACCGCAACGCTGCCCATCAGACAGGGACCCCAGAGCTCACCCACGAGACACAGAAAGAAACATTACAAAAGCCCCCAAATGCTTTTGGAGGAGGTTAAATTGCAGCTCTCAAGGGGAGATTGTTACCATTGCTGTTTTTAATTTGGACATATAGAGTATGTTGAGTATGTTGAGCTTTTATTTCACCTGTGCCAGCATCCCCATTCCTGGATAAAGCCCGGCCTGGAGTGCTGCCGTGCTGTTCTTCTGTTGCTTGTGCTGTATGCACCATGTGCTTTTTCATCCACTTCCTTCTCCAGCTGACTGCAGGGAGGGCGTGGGAGGTAGGACTGGCTACCATGAGGGCCAGCTGCATGGGGACCCTGGTGCTCTCCATGCACAAGGGTGATCTGCACCAGGCTGACAACATCTGTGGCATGTTTCTTTCTTTCATTTTTATTTTTTACTTAATTAAAAATATGCAAGCTGAAAAAAAACAACAGGTTTGTTGCCTTTGGGGATTTTTTTTTTCCTGGAGGTTTTATGTTTCATTTTGGGTCTAGTTATCTGCTTGCTTCTGTTTTCCTTGGGGCAGGTGCCTGGACTTGGTTGCAATGGCTCTAGCTGGTTTGCCCCATGATCCCCAGCCCTCCAGTTCAGTAGTGCTGGGAGGACCCTGCAGCACTTGCCCCTGGCTTGCTGGCAGAGAGGTGGTTTTGCTGCTGATTTTGTTGTCGCTGATCCTTCCCCTTTGTTTACCAAAGCAATTTCCAAAAGCTGCTGCTGAAAATACTGAATAGACTTGGATGCTGGACAATCACTGGAAAGATTTCCCCAGAAAGCTCTGACTTTGACACTGAACTCAATGTATTGTGAATCTAAATAGGTTGCGTTTCCTCAGCTTGCTTACAAGAATGTCTTCTGGGACAGTGCCAGAAGCCTTTCCAAAGTCAAGACATATCACATCTAGCGCTGACCCCCCTAGCCACGAGGCTAGTTATCCTGTCAAAGAATGGAATCAAATTAGTTTGAAACGATTTGTCCTCAGTGAAACCTCAACAAACCCATTCCTGCCATTTATTTACAAACTTATAAATCTGTGTAGGGTATTGGAGAATTACTGGTCTTCCTGGTGTGCATAGGCAAGGCTCCTTTGAAAAACAAAAGCCACCATTAAAATCAGTAAGCAGGCTCTCAGATAGGGAAGGACAGAAAGCATAATTGGTTCCCCAAGTAGCCAGTATCAGGTTTTCTGGCAAACACTCCATACAAAACACTTGCTGTTAGACTCTTGGTTCCTGAGGTAGCATTTTTAACCCACTTTGTTTTCAAGGTGTTTTCCAAACTAAGGAGCATCACTTTCTGCAGATCCTGTTGTCCAATTTAATATCAGCTTTTGAACAGTTGCCAAGTTATTTTGCTTGAAATGGCTTGTAAGGGCTGGTTGCTGAGAAGTCAGAAGGTCGACATTCTGTGTGTGGATTTTGTTACTTATGTCAAACATAAGGAAAAAGGAGGCACAGGGAGAAGGAAGACAAGCCTTCTGGTCATATTACTGTTGGAAGCAGAGGCAGAAGCAAGTCCTTTATAGCCCTTTTGACTTGCTTACAGAATAGCTGCACTGCCAGAGAAGGGTGAAGGTCCCTCAGAACCCAGAAACAGGAAGCATGGCCAAAGAACAGGTCTTTTGTTTTTTTAAATACCCCTTTCCTATTTTTAATTAAGTCTTGGAGAACTCCAGACATGACAACTCCTGCTCTTCCCTTAGCCCCAAAACTTGCTGTCTTGGTAATACCAGGAAATTAGCTTGGTTTGTCAGTTTATTCTTTACAGATACACACTGGGTGTCACTCATCCCTGCATTTTCTTCTTTTATCATTGAGCTTGCATCTAAAGACAAGATCTTGTCATAGCCTCTCAGACCATCTGCAAACAACCCAGCCTGTTGACTACCATACAAGCAGAAAACCTTCCTTGGGAATGCACTTGCCTCCCCTTTGATGTGCAATAAATGAGTTGTCTCCTTATTCATTGCAAGAGTGCAACATGTAAACAAGTGAAAAGACAGAGACCATGATGAGAAAGTTGGTTGAAAGCACTTGAAGCAAACAGTGTGTGGCCTTCTCTGTCATGGGCCTGTGCTGCAGCCTCTGATGAATGCCATTTCTTTGTAGCCTAGGAAAAAGCAAGTTTTATAATAGCACAGCTTTCCAGCATGACTTGTTACTTGTAATCTCTGAGGATTACAAGGTTATGGACAACAGCTAGAAGATACTATTTCAGGGTCCCATATAGTGAGGGATGACATGCAAAAGTCAAGTATGAAGGCTCCCACGTGAAAGGGAGGTGCAAGGAGATGCAAGGTGCAGGGCCTGACTGCTACACCTGGTTCGGGGAGACAGAGCTACAAGATCGCACCTGGCTGTGGGTCCCACCTTCTCCAATCACCTCTACACTCCTGCTGAAGCTTCATAGTCTTTCTAAGCAGCCTGCATAGATCAGACAGCTGTCATCAAACACAGAGACACACTCTGGAGCAAGTGTTAATTCAGCCTGAAGGTTTACACACAGAGAAGCATCACAGACTGCAGAACCCAATCACAGACTGACACTTGATTCTGCAAAGTCTCCTTCCCTCTCCTAAGCACTGCAGGGGTAACAGAATATTATTTAGAAGAGAGAAGTTCTGGAAACAAGAAACCACCACAAGACACTGGAGCAAAAGTTATCTATTTTATTACAAAACCAAAACCAAACAGATGCCTTTCAGTTTAACAAATGATGCCATAGGCAGAAATGTGCCAGGGTAAGTTCAGTATAAACTCAGACCATGGAAAGCAGTGCCTTCACACATATGAATCCCACTGTAATGCAGTTTCCTCCACCATACTATGCCCTTGGAGGTTCAGCAAAAAAGGAAAGATTTTTTTCTTTTGGCAGGAAGAACAGATGACTTGCACTGTGGGGTCCTGGTTCTCTTCTCTGCTGTTTTCAACTGTCATTCAAAGTAGAGCTGGAGAGGCCCAGGAAGACTTGAAAGATGAGGAGACACATGTCCAGTGTCTGCTTCCAGAAACAACACTGACACTTCCCATGTCCCAGCTTCAGTAAAATGCTACTGATGCAAGGCAGAGCAGAAGAATGCTTACCTCCACCAGATAAGGACACACTTGGCCTGGCAGCCATGTGGACTGGCCAGTTTTTTGGCAATAAAAGCAACAGGGGAAGCAGGCAGCTGAGGCTCTTCTGATGAGTACAGTGTGTTTGGACAGCTCATAGCATGGGTTGTATAAATCAAGACCAGTGCTGTCTGCACGACCCTCCAACACAAACCTCCAACAAGTAACCTAACCTCTGTTTGGACATTACATAATCACGCTTGTTGGGTCTTCCACAGAAATGTACAAATTTTACCAGAAGCTGCTCAGAGACCCACACAAATCCAACAAATCAGGATGCGGGGATTTGGACTTGTCTTGTAAAAGGGAAGCAATATAATGCTTGGTCCCCAATCCATCCATGAAGTCAGCTCTAGCATAGCAACATGAACATCCATTAATGCCAAAGCTAATTGACAGCCATGCCTTGTTTGGCTTCCTTGAAAAACTGATACAATTTTAATTGCAAACTTCATGTGAATGCAGGCCTCTTGGAGGGGAAGGACACAAGGATGAGAAAAAGGAAGTCAGCAGAAGAATTTATGTGACAGGTAGGAGTGTTGGCTGGCTGATTTATTTACATTTCCAGAAGAAAAGATGCAGTAAGTTTAACAGATCTGTAGTCCCCCCACAATCTTGTGGGGCATTGCCCAGCCCCAGTGCCTGGCTGACAAAACTCCTATAGGCATCCAACTGGCTGTTTCTGCTGGATGCAACTATACATGAAGAAACAAACACACAAAAACCCCAAAAAAAACCCACCCCCAAAAAAGATCCCAAAACCCCAAACCACCAAAGACCAACCAACCCAGTATCCAGAGCTTTAAATTCCTAAAACTAACATATTTAAAAGGAGAGGGGTTTTTTATACATTGGATTCATTCTTTACTCCTACAATAGAATTGGTGAGTGTGACAAAGACATTTCTAACTATACACTAAACCAAATTATTTCAACATACAAAAAATGTGCCCAGGGCATTAAAAAAAAAAAAAAAAAAAAAAAAAAAAAGGGGGGGAGAAGCAATCAAGAAGGTGGGAGCTTGCAGACCAGAAAAGCACATACATTGTATGTGAGAAACCATGAAGATCCAGCAGCAGGATCTGCTCTTGCTAGAGAGACAACTTCTTTTATTATGGTAGTGTGATGTATATTTCAGAGATTACCAGCAGTGTTTTCAGCCATGCTACATGTTTTAATTAGCTCCAATCTACTTCCGAGAAGTTATTACTACTCTTAAACAGTTATTTAAAGAACTATTTTTTTGTTTTTTCTTTTTTTTTTTTTGTAACTTTCCATTTTGCCAACAAGCACTAACTTACTGCATCAGAACACTTTTTTTTGGTGATGTATTTATCTCATGCTATTCTCATGATGACATGACACAGAGTGAAGATGCCGTGTTGTAACACCTTTTACCAAAGCAACAGGGATATAGACTCAAAGATTGAGTCCAGCCTCTACAGTAAACCAGTGCTGTTGCAAGCAATTGTTGGTGTGATCTCATTAGCATGGCATATCATCATGTTTGACTACAGTTTCTTCTAACAGAGACAAGTGGCACAAGGGTCACCAGGTCTGAAGTGGGAGGCTGCTCAGAACAGGTGAATGCTGCCAGTGGCTGGAAATACACAAAGCAAAACACTGTCCCATCACACTCTGCCCAAACCTAGGACTGCTGATATGGGGGTCCCTGCAAAAGAAACAACCTTGTTAAAACTTCTAGTGGTAGAAACAGCCTCTGTGGCCTCCAAGAACATCAGACTCCTCACTCCAAGCCTTCACTGTTATTGTTCGTCACACAGGAGGGTACTGGTAACAGCAAATTAGGAGGAGTGGATACTCTAAGCTAGGCAGGCACACCACTGCGCAGGAGGGAAGTTTGGATTCAGTCATCGTGGACAAGAATAGTAATTTCTGACAGACAGTCACCAGTGAGCACAGCCCCACATGTTGAAATGTAAGTAAAGCAGACACTTGGGGACCAGGGGCATGGTTACGTCTTTCTGCATAGATACATGTTCTTTGCTCTTCAGACAAGCAACAGGCAGGCTAATGCTGCTTTTAGCAGGCTTCTTAGTATTTTTATTGTTGTATGACATGTAGATGAACACTTTGTCAGAGAGGAAGAGGTACAACTTCCTTCCACTGACTCTACTTAGACCTACAGCTCCCACATCCTTCCTACAGCATTAGATTCCAGAGGCATGGCACATCTTTCCTAAGCATATCATCTGAGCCTGGATAGCAATGCATTTGTAATTCATTTCTGTCCAACTTGCAACAAGTGCAGAAACTACTTTTGTATATCCTTAATACAACCCTTTCCTATCTCTACTTTAAGCAGCTTTGCAGTGCACCAATACTTAAACAAAATCTGTGCTCTCAAAAGCCCAATTGCCTGTGAGTTGCACAGGGCTTTACAGTAAGAAAGGGGGTTCAGATGCTCTCAAGAAGCATTTGGTATCTGGCACAGTGTGTGCACATCTGCAAGAACAAGTCATGCTGATACACTGGCTCCTTTCTGCATGGGGGTGTTAAGGTTTGCCACTGAATGATGTTTTGGTGGCAGAAATGAATGCATTACATCCAGTAAAGGCAAAGTGTCTCTCTAGCCCTAACAGCCTTCAAAAGCAAAGGGAGGAATAGAACAGTGACTCCAACCCCTGTACAAGACAACTGTACAATTTACATATATATTTATATACAGTATATAAAATTCTTTCTTTGAGTCCCAGTGAACTCAATTTTACATCATCAGTAGCTGTTCCAATTTTAAAAAGTCATGATCCCGTTTCCCTCCACTCTCCAAAGTATTAGATTATGGCATTGAAAAGCAATTAAAAACAAACCAAAACCAATTATTAAAAAGTGCAAAAATTCTGGGTGCCACTTCTGCTATGCTGGATGTTGCTGATGCTGCATGCTTGCTCACAAGCAGCAAGGTGTCTGTCCGTCTGTCGCTGGATCTTTCCTTCCTTTGGGTCAGCTCCTGCCTTCCCTTCCCATCTTCTGCTGCTACACCAGGCGACCTACTGAAAGGGCAGGGTGGGCAAGGAGGAAAAAGACAAACAGAACAGAAGCAGGACAAGTGAGAAAAAAAGGCAAATTAATACCAAAAGAAACCTGATTGATAAAGATACAGAATAGCCTCTGCTGAAGCCATGGCCCCAGAAGACTGAGATCCCAGAGTAAGCTGAGAGGCTGAAAACAACCAGGGGCTAATGAGACAGCCTTGCTGAAAAAAGCACTGAATGAGTCACACAGAGCCTTAGGGACTGCCATATTTTTAAACATAAACCACCACTTCCCTCCCCCTCCTTGGAAATAGGCATGCAGTCTGTGGTAACAACTGGTCCAGCATCTCTCCCTCTGCTCTTCTGCCTGCCACAGCTGATGCAGAAGCCTACTCCTGCCAGGTTGCCCTGCCACCATCTCCCTCATAAACCACAGCCAGTTGTCTCCTCCCCTAGAAGACAAGCAGGTCTCAAAGGAGGCTTTTCTTCAGAAAGCTTTTGTTAAGCCCTTCCTCAAAGATTCTTAAAGAATCAAAACTCTTACAGGATCAGAGCAAGAACTCTGTGGATTAATTACAGGTGAAAACACACTAAAGAAAAAGCAAAAGCATGGACTTGATTTTCAGAAATTAGAAAGGTTACATCACTGGGAGAAAACGCCTCACTGGGATCAACATGCCCTGCCGTGGGGGGGCAAATATTGTCAAATGCAAAATTACTCCAGATAGCCATATTTGAAATTGACTGCACAGCTTTGCAAACAGCACTTGCGGTGCTCAGTGAGCAGCTCATAAAAACAGTAGATTATCTTCCATGTCCACAGATGCAACGCAGAGTGTGAGTGGGGATGACTTGTTCTATGCTGAGTGCTCTGAGTGATTAGGAAAGTGTCTGAAGCCACAGTATGCACTTGTTTGAATGCCTCTGCTCAGCTCTTAGCAGCAGACAAAACTCAAATACACACTCAGAACTGAGGACACACCAAGAAACATCACTGCATCAGTGTATAAGGTTTGGTTGATCTTTATCTTCAGTTCTCCATTCAGCCCATTTCAACCAGGACCACATATGGTCCCCAGAAAGGTAAGGAGGACAGCAAGAGGTATGGGAAGACTTCTGTCCTTAAGCAAATACATAGCCTAAGTCTTTTCAACACAAAAAGGAGCCTAACCAGATATATGTTGGGTGGCTATAGAACAAGTGGGAGAGTAGGCAGGGGAGAACTGCTCACTGCTTCTTGCAGTCCAAAATGAGAAGCACACAATGAAACCATGAGGCAGCAAGTCTAAAAGCAAAGCAAATAATGTGGTTCATGCCTGATGAAAGGGTGCAATTTGCTGCCACAAAACACAGAGAAAAGCAGATATTCATCACGAAGAACACTGCCTTCATGGGAACTTGTCCATGGAGTAATATAATGTAAATGCACCAAATCACTGAAATTATTGCTTGCTAGAAGAAGGGAGAATAGAAGAGGAGAGTATTCATTCCATAGCTGCTGTATCTTATCTAATTCCTTAGCAATGTACTGTCTGCTCCAGCTAAAGACACAGAGCTGGACTTCGAGATGATGCAGTGGAGCTGCATGTTGGTATATTCACACCTCTTATGAACAACTTTTGTATCCATCTGTTTCTATATTGCTGTTTGTGAACATGGGAGAGCAGGGGAAAATGAATTCTGAAACACATGGTTATCACAGAAAAAAAGAAACCATTTTGACAAGATACTCACTGAAAGGGTTAAGGCCTTGTCTTTTTCCATTGGGCAAACTGCTCAGGCTACCTGTAAAATCCAAGAACCACATTAAAGGCAATAAATGCTGTGGCATGACAAAGGGGCCTCCTTGTTGTCTGTTGCCAGAGGACAGGTTCAAAGGAGCCCCTCTGAGCATGCTCACAGCAAGTCCTGCCAACACTCTCTTAAGATTCACATGCAAGGGTTTGACTAATATGCTTGAGATGACAGATGTTAAATACCTGGTGTTGTAGTAGCTGAGTGTCATGAAGTCTGGAGGTTTGGTGGGGCAAGAAACAACAATTACAAGGTTAAATTGAACTGTGGAAGAAGAAGAAAGGAAGGATACAAGTACTGTCATGAGGTTTCCCCAAGCAAGAAAAGTAAAGCCATGTAGAATGAGGGCAGCCAGAAAAAGTGAAGGTGCAGGCAATACAGATAGCCCAAGTTTATTAAATCTTTCACTTGGACCAAACAATCAAACAGGTGCCTAAAATCAAAGACAGAAGGGCAGAACTGCGTCTGTGTTATGAGATAACAGGCACATGCACCCTACACCAGATGGAGCTCATGGCAAGGGCCTCTCACCTCAACAATAAACCTGCTCCTACCATGTGCTATGGGAACAGAGAGCTCAGGGATAACAGGAGCTCTCAAAAGCATGTCACATTTCCTGCTAGTTGGCTCGGTCTGATTTCAGAGAGGGATTAGATGAAAATGGGAACTCCTGCTCCCAGTCAGCAGCAGTAAGCCTATTGCCACCCTCCACTCTGCCCAGCCTGAGACTTTGATTTGTGCGTGCACATGAGTTGACTGCACAACTTGCTCTGCACACCGAGTACTCTGCACGCCAGCAGGTACAACACACTTGGCTCTGCAGAGAGATGGGCAGAAGCTCAGAGGGCAGGGGCGAGGTGAGGGTGGCCCCAGTGGTGGGGAGGCTGGGCTGCAAGATGGAACAGAGCTTCTGGGAAGGACAAGAGAGGGGGAGAGAAAGCTGGCAGTGGCCAAGATTGAAATGGGTCACAAAGCACAGCTTCTTGGCTTTAGAGAGCATTAAGACAAGCAACTGTGTAAGCACAGTAAGTTATTCGAAGGCCTCCAAACTCCAGCCTGTTACCAGCCACCTGCCCTGGTGTGATCAGCAGAATCGTGACTCGATGATGCCTGCACCTGTAAAACACCAGAGGCTCCACTGCCAGGGCAGAGGCTCGTCCCAGACTGACCAGCACCCACAGCCCGGGGATGGCAACTGCAACCCGGGCCCTTCACAGGCCACCGCTGGGGCCCTGGAGGGCACTGCTAGGCCACGCATTGCAGTCCCACCCGGCAGCCTGCATAAGCCAGAGGGCATCCCAGAGAACCCTCACCCCGCTTTAGCACCCAGAGCAGGTAAGCCTACAGCGCTGTGCTGGGAACAAGCATTATCTGTCTTTGAAAGAGGTGAATGAGCACTGTCTGTCTTTGGAAAGAGGCAGGGAGCTCCAGGTCGGTGCACCTGTGTGGGAGAGCCACACTGAGGCACTCAGAGAGCATCGCCTTCAGCCGACTGCCTGCCATATAAACACAGGCCAGCCACGTATACCTATGAAAGGCAAAACGCTGCCACAACAACACTGCACAGAGCAGAAAGCTGACACAAAAGAGAGGAAGGAATACAGCAGGTAGTGACAGTAGGTTATTATCATATCCCTGAGAAACCTTTGGGCATTATAAGGTAACAGTCCATCATTCAGCAAGTTTCATAATGGAGAGTGTTTGCTCAGCCTCACAAGTACATTGTTTTGAGTAGCAATTCTTGCCACACTGGATTAGGCCAGGTGTCTTTCCAAAGCAAAAGCTCCCAGGAAACTCCAGCAGCTTTTTACATGAAGAAACGATTCCTCAGGCTTACTGAGCAAACCTCTCACCTTTTGAGGAGAGAAACTTGCTACCACCAGCTTTGTACTCTCAAAATATTACTGATGTCCTAAGTCATACAAACCATCACTAACTTTTGTCAAGATTAAAGGCAAACTACAGCACCTCTACAAAGCTCCAAAGGGGGATATCCAAACAAGAAAAATAAAACCAAGCGATGAACCAGTAGAGCTCCTTTGCATTCTAATCTAATTGTAACTAGATGCACTTTAAATTTCCTTTTTAATTCAGTCATTACCTGGTTATAGTTTTCTCATGACTGCTCAGACTGTTGTTTTCTACCATCATTGGTCCAGAGGCATTTCCCAAGTGACTGTTCTTTGCTACCTTCTGCCACACAGCTGCTTGCACAGTAGTGATATAGAGTGATCTCATTCCCAGCCTCCCAAGCATGCAGAGAATCAGTTACTTCTGAAGATACTGATAAGAAAGGTCCCCAGCATCACTGAATGAAATCTGCTTTGAGATTGCCTGTTACTTTTCCTTCTTTCTGCAATATTTCCTCACATCTAGAAGAACGTGACGTGCTGTCTAATTACATACACACACTTTTTAATTAAAATATTTTGATCCTGTTTCTGGACTGTGGTCTTGGTGGCTGAGTTCCACCTCAGAAGTCCTCATGGCCTGTGAAACATGCCCAACACCTACCATCTGACAAGCTCTTGGACAGCAAAGCAATCACGGGATCTGAGCTGGCAGAAAGGAAGCTCCCATCAGCTGGCACAGGGGATATTTCTTCCCTGCCTATTCCCTTAACTCCTCTTTGGGTAGGCACAAAATGCTGACTTTTTCTTCTGAATTTGGAAGAATATAGAGGTAAAACTCAACTCTAGCATTTTGCAGCCAGCACAACTAGCATAAGCCTTATTCAGATCTACATCCCTCCTCTCCAACATCACTGGACTCCAATTTATCTCAGGTCCAGTAACTTTCCAGTAAAGCTTCGCAGTGTGTGTCTATCTCCTCTCAAGTACTCTGCCTTTTGACTAATGCTGAGAGCTAAATTTGTTCTTTGATCACTCAGGCTGTGCAGACTTCACTGAGGAATGCTAACTTTTAACAGGCTGTAAATCAGTCTGTTTTCCTTCCACAATTCCTCAAACAGACAATCATAGATCAAACGATGGCAAAGACCGTTTCTGGCATGCTCCAAGCTAAAAGCCCTCCCTGTCTGTTCTACCCCAGTTTAAGAAACTCTTTGCAGGCTTCTGCAGACCCTCAAAGGCTGACTCTATGTGGCTACTCTATTCTGAGATCCAGAAATGTCAGTTTTCCATGCGAACGGCCCTTGGTAGAAATAAGTCAGGTTTAAACAGAGGGACAAGAGCTGTGCAAAGTGGCAACCAGACCTAGCAGATTTTCCAGCAGCTTTCTAGATCACCATAAGGATGGAAGAGGAAGAATTTCTGACAGACTGTACAATTACTTTCCTCAGTGAAGAACCCCTGGCTGGCAATACCCACATATCAGGTTACCACAGGCATTAAGAACCTGCTGAAGAAGGGAAGAGAGACAGAACTTTGCAGCTCACACAGATTTGATCATAAGTTGGAAAGAGCTCAGATTCAGGTTTGTCCTTATGAATACCCCAGCTGAATCCTCACACATAAATCTTATTTATTTAGACTCTTTAGTCCCTGAGAGGCATATAAAAGTAGTGATTTATCTATGCCCTATGCTTCCTTTAAGTAACACTATTTCCACATTTGGATGGAACTGGCCACAAAAAAAGGCAAAACTGACAAAAATGCATAACACTTAATATCCGTATTCCTCAGCATCCCAAATGTTACAAAATTTGTATTATGTTTTATTTTCAAAATCATTGCAAGTGTTCAATTTGTTGCACAGGAGGCATATTCACCTGGAACGATGACCCACTTAATTTTAGTCCTTATGCTACCCAACCACAATTTGGAACATCTGAGTTCATTTGTAATGATGTATATCAAGGGGAAATTATGACTTTTCTTGCCTCCTTCCAACCCTTCCTCCTCCAATCCAGACCAGAAAAACCTTTCAAAGAAAGCTTTTGTTAAAACAAAAACATTTCCATGAAAAGTTTTGGTTTCATATGATGGTAGTTTACAATTGAAAGTACATCAAAAAGGTTCCTAACTAGCTCTTGGCTTGAACTCACAATGACCTCAGCCCCATTAGACCTTTGGAGGCCCTGCTACAGAGGAAGAAACAGACAGCAAATACGTGGACTAGTTGATTGACTATATTCACCCATGATCAGGATAAGGGAAAGTTAGAGAAGTGGTAAGATCATAGAATCATAGAAGGCTTTGGATTGAAAGGGAACTTAAAGATCATCGAGTTCCAACCTCTCTGCCATGGGCAGGGAACCCTTTCACTACACCAGGTTGCCCAGAGCTCCATCCAACCTGGCCTTGAACACTTCCAGGGATGGAGCATCCATCCATCCATCCTCTGGGCAAGCAGTTCCAGTGCCTCACCACCCTCACAGTAAGGTATTTTTTCCTCATACCTAATCTAAATGTACTCTCTCTCAGTTTCAAGCCATTTCCCCTTGTCTTGTCCCTAAGTAAAAAATTCCTCTCCGTCTGTCTTATAGGCTCCCTTCAGGTACTAGAGGGATCCAATTAGGTCACCCCAAAGCCTTCACTCTTCCAGACTGAACAATCCAAATTTTCTCACCCTTTCCTTGTAGGAGAGGTGCTCCATCCCTCTAATCAACATTGTGGCCCTCCTCTGGGCTTGCTCCAACAGGTCTGCATCCTCCTTGTCCTGGAGACCCCAAACCTGGATGCAATACTCCAGGTGGAGTCTCACCAGAGCAAAGTGGAGGAGCAGAATTCTCTCGCTCACCCTCCCAGTCACGCTGCTTTTGATGCAGCCCAGGACACGATCAGCTTTCTGGACTACAAATGCACATTGTCAGCTCATGTCCAGCTTCTCATGCACCAGCACTCCCAAGTCCTTTTTGACAGGGCTGCTCTCCATCTGTTCATCTCCCAGACTGTATTGACTCTGGGGGCTGTTCCACACAGGTGCAGCACCTCGCACTTGGTCTTATTAAACCTCATGAGGTTCCCATGGGCCCACTTCTCGATGCCATCCTGTTCTTAGGTGTGTCAACCACAACACTCATCTTGGTGTTGTCTGCAGATCTGCTGAGGGTGCACCTGATCCCTCTGTCTGTGTCACTATTGAAGATATTAAATAACACTGGACCCAATACAGACCCTTGAGCAGCACCACTGGTCACCGATGCCCATCAGGACTCTGACCCGTTGACCACTACCCTCTGGATGTGACCATCCAACCAATTCCTTATCTACTGAACAGTCCACCCATCAAATCCACTTCTGTCCAATTTAGAGAGAAGGATTTGTGGGAAACCATGTCAAAGATACCAATTGTTTCTAAATTTAGAAGTTCTTATGAATAGGAAGCACAGAAAACATGTCATCTACCCCCTTCACAACTTCATGATTTCTTTAAAAAGATCCATCACAAACCTGCTTACTGCACCTCTAGAGTATTTCCCTCAGTTTTTTTCCTACACAGTAGTACCTGCTCCCTTCACTGTCCACTCCACTGCTTTTTAGTCCTCACCATCCTTTAACTTATCTATTTATCTTTGATCCTCAAGGCTTATCAGGCCTGTAGAAGATATGTGGAGAAGGTATGACAAAACAAGATCAGAGCCCCTTTTTGACCATAGTCCTGTCCTCATACAACAGAAGAAACCATGAAAGATCAAGGCTGCATTCCCAACAAACAGTTGGACAATCAGGCACTCACAACGCCTCTCTGTTCTCCCCTTAATATGGGCTCAAAGTTTCAAATTTTCTTCCTTCTCTACCTTTTTTTTCCCCTTCCATAAAATAAATTTTGAACAGTCAGTTGGCCAAGGCAGCAGATTCCATAGAGTCTTATTCCAGGCCAAATAGCAATAAAACTCATTTGGCATATCCATCTTACTGGGAAGGTAATAAAATTAAGGATTGCTATTTTGGTATGTCATTCCTTAGTAAGGTACTGATGACTATAAAAAAACTTCCACTGGGCTAGAGAAGCTGAATGCTTCTTACAGCTGACAAGTAATGCGACATGCTTATTATGGTAACTAAGATTTTTATAAAGCACCTAGAAAATGCAACTTCCCAACACCCAAATGTACTGACTCCCTTCCCACATGTGCAAAACCTGAGAAAAGACCTAGGGAAATGTTTAGATGGGAAAAGAAAGCTACCCACCGTTCCCTATTAGCACGACAGTTATAACAAGAGCTGTCTGCACAGCCAAAACACCTGCACAGGATATTAGTCCTCTGGAATCTCCCTGTTTGCCTTCTCCTGCCAAGCAAGTCTGCCTACAGTCAAGAATGACTGATAATTATTGAATTTGGGTTGAACAGTTTCAATTCATAAAATTTCCAAAAATACCAGTTTGGTTCAGGTCCCAACAGATGATGAGGTGAAGATGAAAAAGGAAGAAAAGGTAGTAGGGTGGGTTGGTTGCCCCGGCATTAAACAGGAAGGAAAATAGATTATCCACATGCCTTATTTCTTCCCCAATCTTGAAGTACAATTTAACTCTGAAAAAGGCCAACAGTACAGCCCTGTACTTTCTTTCTAAGTTGTTCTCTCCCCATCATCCACTTTCCTGCATGCTGAATTTAGCAATGAAAATAAGTACTATATCTGTTAGTCAACAGGGTCTCCAGAGAAGGTTGGGTCTGTGCTGACTCATACATCATCCAACCTACATGGTTGAGATAACCCAATATTGTTAGCAGGGTATTACTCAGAAGGGACTTGATCTGATCTGAACTACAGTTTCCAAGGACTTCTACAGTACAAGCAGATTTCTGCTCAAGGCTCATCTGTTGCCCTGTTTCTGTATAGTCTTAGCACAAAGGTCTGTGATAAGGGATACAAGATGGAGCCATAAATAAATAACAAGCTGCATTTGCATGGTAAGGTATTAATCCCACTCATTTTGTCAGACGAACTTTGGCACTTTTGAAACAACTGGGAGAAAACATATTCCCGAGTTTGTTGTAACTCCATTTCAGTTTTTATTGTCATGCAATGGGGAAGAAAAGGCACTCACCTCCTTCCTTGCTGACTCCTAAACATCCTTTCAGCTCCTGAAGTGAGATTGACTTGTCCTTGTTGAGGTCACAGTAGTCAGTGAAACGCCGAGCACATTTCTTGGGCTTGGCTTTCTTCTTTACATAACGTTTGAAAGGCTTTAGCTCCCGCTTGTTGATATCATTGCTGCTGTTGTTGTCCAGCTGGCTGAAATACCAGTGCACCACTCGCTCCTCTAGTGTGTGGCTGGGATCTGGCTCTGAGAACCTGGAACAGAGGAAGCACAGGCCCCCAAAAAATGGGTACTCTCACCAACACTGTCAAGCATATGCTGAGGAGCAAGAGCTGCTCATCAAATCAAGCGTTATGCCATATTTAAAGAAGGCAAAAAACACAGGTCTTCCAACCTCCTCCTTTCAGCTAGGCTCTATTGAGAGAGATGAACTTTTTCTAAATATGTCCTTTAGCATTAACAAGTGGTGTCAAGAGAATCTTGGACTCTGATACCCTCAGTAGCTCTGGTTCTCCTCACATCAGTTGCTGAAACTCTGCCTAAACCTGGAACGATCCCCTTTAGAGGGTAAGAAGCAATATCCTTGGTCCTTTTGACCCTTGGGTTTCCGTTCAAGTTACCAGCAGGAGGACCATGAGTATCAGCTGTCATGACAGTTTTTGTGACAGCAACATCTAGACTTCAGAAAGGTAACAAAGTATTTAATGCAAGAGATATTCATATTTGGAAGTGTCCTTGGCAAGATATAACACCTCCCCGTATCTGTACTCCTGTGCTGTATTTTCAGCCTTTTTAATGCTTTCCATGTGGCTGATTTACACCTAAGAGTTCCACAGCAAACAAACTCCACAAATCTATTAAAAGCAATACTACAGATTTGGCAACTTCAGTTTGCTTCACTTCTTACTCATTGTGATATTACAAGTTTGATGCTGTTTGACTCATTTTATTTCTGTGGAAAACAACAATATCAGAGAGGAAGAGAAGAAAAAGAGGAGGAACAGCAACAGCTATAGGTGCACAAATAGAGAATGCTGCCTTTCAACATCAAGCCATCACTATTATGTCATACCACTTAAGCAGTGTCTAGTGCTTTGCATGAGCAGAGGGAAAGGGGTTATTTCTTAGTGATATTGAGAATCAGGGAAGAAACTCTTTCTAAGTTAGCCTGTCTTTTCTCCGTATGACAAGCATGACAACAGAGAAAGCTGAAAAGATGCTGAAATGAGGCTTGAGACTAAGCCTTTTTGCTTCCAAGAATAAAGCATTTCAGTGCATGGAAATTAGTGGATAGGTAGTCAGACATGGTACACTGGCACTGGTTGCCGTGACTTGTTCCAGGAGACATACCCAGCTGCTGCCTAAATTCCTTCCCCAGGAAGGAGAGAGGAACAGTTTCATGCTGCAGGCAGCCAGATTCTCCATGTGAGTTTGGGGCATTCTAGCTGATGGGAAAATACAAACCCCAGCATCTTATAAAATGCACTCTAAGACTGTCACTAAAAATTTCTTTATTGGTAACTAGAAGGGAGAAAATTCTTTTCACTTTCTTGTATGATCAGTTTTGCCTTTAAACCACAGCCACAGAGCCTGAAAAGTAACCTCCCCACCCTACCACCATGGTAAATTAAATTGTTAGTGATGGGGAATCTATAATGTGCAGAAAGCAAGAACTGGCACTCAGGTAGAGAACAGAGATCCTCATTAACTTTCTCTGATAGCTTTTACAAATTACCTTAGAATATAGAAAGATGGCTCCTATCCAGAGATACATGAATCCTCGCAACATGTAAATACTCACAGAAGGGAGAGGCAAATAAGCTACACAATTTTCCCAAGGTTTTCCTTAAAACTATCTCCATCATTTAATTCTTAGTTGAGAGGCAGGATGGCATTCAGTCACAGAACCTGGTCAGTGAACAGTGGAATGAACACTGCCCAGGAGAAAGAACAGGTTAGGAATAAGTCTGGGGTTTTTTTTGCTAGCCAAAATACCAGGCAAGCCCCTGCTGTCACCTGTGGACAAGCAGAAATTAAAAAAATCTCCCCAGGAAGTTACGGGAGTGCCCAGATTTTCAAAACTGTATAGATTGACCAGGATGACAGTAGAGAACAGAAACACATCCTCTGCCTAGTTTTTATGACATTTATTAACATAACTATTGGCCTCTATCCGTTTTGGAAAAGAGCTGGCTATCATTTGAAGACGAGCGTGTTTCCAATAACCTCAAGGAAGTTCTGTATTGCCAGAAGCAATATTCTGCTTTTGCTGAGACAGAAAAATAAAATATGAGCTTTTACATTTAAGATTCCCCTTGTCCACACCTTGGCTTGCACTTCGTTTCCTGAAGGCCCACAATTGGAGAAGCAGAAATGGAAAAAGTGGCAGAGCATTTTAGAACCAACATCAGAAAGATGACAAGCTTCTCACTACCTGCTGAAGAGACACTCAGAAGCAGGACTTAAAAGTGCCTCTTTTCACGAGGAACACCAAGGAAGAGCTCTTATGAGTTACCAAGAGCTCTTGAGTTACCAAGAGAAGCAACATAGCTTTCTTCAGCACTTCCGTACAGAAAATCAGGGGTAATAAAATTAATCAGGCTAATACAAATACATTGACTCATGAGGTGATGATAAATCAATCTTTGCCATTACAAACATGTTGAGAGCTCATGCTGAAAACTGCAGCATGCTAATACAACTAAAGGGAATTAGTTTAACAGCTGTAACTTTAGGAGGAAGGAAGATACAGCCATTTCTGAGTTTTTACCACTTCTGTAGGCTGGTTTAGCAGGACTGGAGTTCCTAAAATGTTTGCCTACTCTCTCTGATTATCATCCAGAATCCCAGCACAGGAAGCATCCACATTATCTCAGTTCAGCCATATCTCCCTGCCTCATGAAATTACACGATACGCTAATGAAGGCTGAGGTTACCATACCTTGACTTTGACAACTGCCCGTGCAAGGCACTTGGGCACTACCACGAAACATGAATTGATGCAACTTTGTAGCACTGCTAGGCCACCTAGCTTTGATGATATGCCATGACACCAACCACACCTGCTGGGTCAGCCGAAATGAATCTGGGGCTCTAATTGTCCTGCAAACATAGACTTGGCAGGAGTATTCCAAGGGAATTTCCTTCTATTTGCCCTGTCCTCCTTCCCGCTCCTCCCCCCCCCTTTCCCCCCGCTTACTGTTGCAAGAGAAATAAATCAGCTCTCAGATGCAAACCTCATCTGTTGGGTTGCCTCTCTGCTCATTCAGACCATAAAAGAATCAAAAAACCAAGACAGAACAAAGCTGCCTTGTACATTCTCAATTTCCAACATCTCTCACTTTAACACCAGTCACAATAAAATCCACTGAATTCCAGTACCTCACTTAAGTGCTGTAGCAGCTTTTTAAGACCTAGTAAAGGCAGACATTACCAAAATATAGATGGTCTTCTCAAGTTTGACTGCATTACAGCTGTACTTACTTTTTTTCCTAGTTGTTCCCCTTTAGTAGTCTGTGGCAAAACAATCAATCCTAAAGAACGAGTACTGGGGAAAAGTAAGGAGCTCCATGCAAGATGCTTTTCCAAATGTAACCTGCTGGACTGCTTTTGTACACAATCCAGTAGGTTTAGCTTAGTTAGGAGCATAAGCCCACAGACATTCCAACAGTGAAGAGAAGCATGGTCTGTCAGTAACAGCCTAGGACAGCAAAACTGCTTTCTCAGTTGTCTTACAAATTTATCAGCATCAAGTATATAGTCATCTCTAAGTACACTTTTGCTCCTCCTCCTGTTTAATGTGCTAAGAGTTCTGTCATAGCAGAATACCTATTTCTTTGGTGGCATAGATTGGAGATATGTGAGTTAAGGTACTGTGACTTTTAACAATACTATCTTCTAGCTGAGGCACACTTCAACAGCATATTTCACATCATCTAGTGTAACTGGGATACAGGCAGAACACACAGAGGCTGTGAAAAAACATGGATATAACACTTTTGTTATCTGTACTGAATTCTGAATCAGAGAGAAGACTGCTAAAATATCAAATAGGCAGCTTGAATATGCACTTTGCGTGCCATCTGTAATGCTTTCTAGCCCTTGAGGGCCCTTGCAAGAAAGGAGGAGTTAACTAGCAGGAAGGACCAGAGAAAAAGGGGCAATATATACAGTGTGTAATCACATTATCCTCCATAGAACTGTGCTGTCAAAGGGTAATATGCCCCCCTAAATTTTACCAAGTAAATTGAAGTCCATTCCTGCCAAAGTTGATCCTTTGCTCCCTGAACACTTGCAGCCCCATTGCACCCCACTGCACAGGCAGCATGGACCCATAGTACTATGGCAGTGACAAAAAATCCTAATACAAACTACTTCTTTGACAGAAAGCAAGGTTGCAGTCTCTGAAGTACCCATCGTATGATCACCTGTTTGAAGACTTAGAAAATCTGTTCTTTTGTAATACAAATTTTACGTAGCAACATTAGCAGCTGAGGCAGGAGGGAAGGACAGTAAGACCAGCCTAACATCACCTGGCTGGATTGCAGAGACTATAAACCAGAGGATTCCATCATTCCAGGATGAAAGAACAAAGGATAAGAAGCTGCTATCAAGTACAACAGTGTTAGAAAAAAACCCAACAAGCCCTGCTTTCATTCCTAACATACAATGCACATTAGTGGTCAGGATGTTTACAGGAGTTTAAGCTGTAAGTTTCTATGACTTGGCAATATTTTGCAAGATGCAAAGTGACTGACCCCACCAGTCAACACCAATGACTGCATTGGTGATGTCCACCAAAGTGCCAGCAGGGAGCAGTGGAAAGCAATGAGTTTAACAAACTGAGGTAAAATCCATAATTGTTCTTTCTCTGCTTCCACTTCATACTCCTCTTTTGTTGTTCTTTGCAGTTGCCTGTTCTAAAGTTAAAGGCTGTAAGGGTGGAACACGGTTTGAATCAAAGAGGATTACTCTAATGGAATTGCAAAAGGATCCTGTATTTGTTTTCCTATTCTCCCTTTCCTGTAGCCAAAGAATCAAAAAGCCAACAAAAAAACCTAAGCTGTGTTCAGACTAAACAAAAGGGTACTAGGCAGTCCAAATTCATTAGGGGAAATGCATAATTCCTCTACAGTTACAACTTCAGTTATCTGCCTATTACAGTTTCTTCCTATCCACTGGCTAAGTTGTACATTATTCTCAACTTTTCTGAAGACTGTGGGATAAATAATTTAGAAAGTTAAAAAATAACCTC